TGGGTTTAGAGTTGGGTTAGGTAAAAGTCGTTTTGGGGTTTTGGGGCTTAGAGTTGGGTTAAGTCAGAGTCAGAGTGTCCACAGGCGGCTTGGTCAGATGCTGCCAGCAAAGAGTCCTTACGGTTGATGGACAAAAAATCGGCATGGCCCAAATATAGTATAGTACCATAAATCCCATAGTTTAGGTATATAAGGTCATGCAGGATTTTGTCCATCAACAGTATCACAGTGTGAGCAGCGGAAGTGCCGAGACGATGCTATCAGGCTTCTGCGTTTGGCGGAGGTTCATCCGAAGCCCTGTGGCCCGATGTCAAACCTAAAGGCCGAAAACGGCGAGTCGTTTGAAGCCCTATAGCCGTAGATCAGCTCCCCTGAACCCTCGAAGCCGTACCTACATCCCTTTTTCTCTTTCCATAATTTAGGACCCGGAGCGATTATGAATACGCTTCCGCAGAGTTCCCAGTATAGCTATAGTAAGATATATCCCAAAGCCCTAGCCTTGTCATTCAGGCCCCCTATAGTTCATCCCTCTAATATAGAGGCCTTAATAGTCAGAATAGGTGTTGGGGGCCCATTATACTATAATCATAATAAGGAACCCCCAAAACCCTATTCTGATTATTAAGGTCCCTACATTATAGCCCTAAACCCTAAACCCTAAACCCTAAGCCCTATAAGCCCAGGAGCGCAAGGCACGCGACGATACACGCCATCATGAGCGTGACCGCGAGCACCGGAAGGAGAAGAGCAGTCTCAAGCCTGCAAACATGGCTTTCTCTATGGCTTTATTTAATATATAGGGGCCTTACGTAATAGAATGGTTTTGGGGCACATCATACTATAATTATAATAGGGAACCAGGTTTTATCAGAAGGTCTGCAGTGGTTATCGGGTGTTTTCGAAAGTTTATCGAACATGTCGTCGCTCTGGGGTGATATGGCTTCTGTAGGGTGTGTTTCGTTTTATTTATCAGATTGTGTCAGATAGGGACCCATTGATGCTCTGGCCTTCTAGCTGCTTTAGGCATTTCATACCTTTAGCGTTTAAGGGTTCAGGGCAGGGTTTTAAAGCAAGGTTCAGTGTCCACAGGACTAGGTGCGTAGTTCTACAACCTAAACCCTAACTTACTTGAAGGGTCACGTTTGAATCCCAGAGGCTGAAGGGTACGGTACTGTGAGGGCCTTAATGGCTTGAATACAGTTCCTTTAAAGGGTTACTACAGGGGTTATTATCAGGGTTCTAGAAGGGCTTAATGTACGGGCCTTAATAATTAGAGTAGGGTTCCTCTAAGGGGTTTCTACACAGGTTATTATAAGGGTTCTATAAGGGTTAATGTAGGGGCCTTAATAACTAGACTATGTTTTGGGGGTTATAATAGGCAACCCCGCAAAATAGTAGTGCAAATTATTCCTGTCCCTATATGAACTCATTGTAAACTAGTTGGCCCCTAAAAGCCTCTGGACGAGTTCCGTAAATAAGAACCTTGGTAAACCCTGAACCCTACCGTCCCAACTAGCCCCAAAACCCTACACCCAAGAAAAACTTCTTAGACCCTAGAAGGCATGAAAAGGTCAGCACCAAACCCCTAAAGCCTACCTATAGGCCCCATAGTACTTCCTTTTTGGTGTTACCTTATAGGATTCTAAATATGAACCCCAAAAAGGAACAACTTTAGGGCCTATGGGTAAACCTTAAAACACGGTAGAAGAACGGATGCCCTCACCCGCCCGCTTTACCCAAAGAGGAGCGCCGTGAGAAGGAGCGGAAAGAGGCAGCAGGCGAGGGTGCCTCCGGCACTTGTGTTGGATGTTGGGCTTAGGGTTTACGATTTAGGGGTTTAGGGGTTTGTGGCTTAGGGTTTAGGGTTTACGATTTAGGGGTTTAGGGTTTACGGTTTAAGGTTTAGGGGTTTAGGGGTTATGGGTTTAGGGTTTAGGGTTTAGTGGTTTAGGGTTTAGGGTTTAGGGGTTTATGGGTTTAGGGTTTACGATCTAGGGGTTTAGGGGGATGCTTCGAGTCGAAGCGGCTTAGGTGTAGACTAGGAGTGCACGAGCTAAAGGTTACGTGCGTTCTGGCTGCAGGGGTGCGCCGCTTGTGGTCTACGTCGGGGTCCTCTTTTGGATGCTGGCTACGAGGGAAGCATACTTCGAAGGGGACCGTAGCTCATTCAGAGAAGCACCTATATTTCTTCAATGTTATTGATCTCGGTTTGATGGAAACCGAAATGCCGTAGTTCGGGACGTAAGAGAGGTCGGATTTTGCGGGTTGGGGGGCACGTGGCATGCACAGTTCAACCGCTTAGGGCAGTGCCTAAGGTTGCTGTTCGGATTCTCTGTGCCGCGCAGAGTCTTCCCTGGAATCTTTGAGGGTGTTAGCAGACTCCAAACCTTCTCACAGTGCCGGTCGAATAGGAGTTGGGTTAGGTTGGAGTATTCGGGGCTTTGGGATCATGAACTCCGCCATCTCGTTGCTTTCGTTCCATGCGAGCCTGTCGTCCGCAGCATTTTGCAGCACAGCACGACCAGGCACCCATCCCGTCTAGATCTGCGCAAGACCCTTCGGTGCACACTGGTGAGAAAGGGGCCTAAATCATTGCCTACACTATTTTGGGGTTCCGTATTATATGTATAGTAGAATGGGCCCCAAATCTCTAATTCTACATATTAAAACCCCTACATTGTTCCTGTTCCTCTCATCCCAAGATCTGACTCCGCACTGCTCTGCAGAACAGTCTCGAAAATCCAAGTCCCTAGTATAGGGGCCTTAATAATTAGAATAGGGTGTTGGATAGTTTTTAGTATAATTATAATAAGGAACCACCAAAACCCTATTCTAATTATTAAGGCCCCTAAATTACATCTGCAACATGTCCGTCTTGCTTGATTGCTGGGATCAGCTGTTTATGTACGTAGGGTTCAGGGGTCAAGGCTTGCGGGGGCCTGAAGCCAGAGCTCTTCAGGCTTGTGAGTGAAGAAGGGTTGAAGGTTTTTGGAGTTTTTGAGCTTTCAGGGTGTCGAATTTTTTTGACTCGAGCTCATACAAAGCAGTCGCGATCAGTCAGAACCTGTTCAAGACTGAAGAGATTCATAGCCCATCACCCACCCCAGCCAAGCAAAAAACGAGGCCTGACCGTGTACATCCTCGACCCACACCAGAGTGAGCCCCAAACCCAAAGCCTCAGCCGTAAGCCTCAGCGGAATCCTTCAGAAAGCTGAGATGACGTCTTCTGTTGCTAAAGTCGGCGGAGAGGAATCCGTGCAAAATCGGGATGCCATAATGTAGGGGCCTCCATAAAATTAGCAATATTAATTTGGGGGGCTCCGTGTTATAACTATAGTATAATATACTTATTCTAATTATCAAGGCCACTATATTATTCAGAGGGGTCCTGATGATATGGATCTTCGGTTAAGCAACCATGAAAGCTGTGAAGATTGAGCTGAAAGTCTTTCTAAGGTTTACTGTTCATAGCTTCGGTGGCCTAACATCAGAAGCATTGCGTTTAGGGAAAGTTTGGGGTGGGACATCTGCTTGCCTAGGGAAGCATGACGTGGTGCGAGCGCCGCCTCAACGCCCACGTGGACTGCGTCAAGGGCTTCCTCCGCGAGGACGCAAAGTGGGTTTTGCAAACGCGAGGGTTTAAACCCTAAACCCTAAACCCTAAACCGTCGAGGGGTGGTTAGTGAGGATTGAGGCGCCCACAAGTTTAGATATCATGTTTGGCGTACCTCAAGCCCAACCATCTCGAACGCCCGTCTTGGCTCCAGCCAATATGCGGGTGCTGGAAGTGGGAGTTTTGTACAGCATAGAGACTGAACCCTAAACCCTAGAACCCTAGGCCTTAAACTCTAAACTCAAAATGCAGTCTTTTGAGAATGCCAGCGGGTCAGAGATCCTTGCTGGTTATCGTGCATTTGAGGCCTCAGGCTCACGCAAGGCATTTAGAGCCCTGCTTAGGGTTTCGAGTTTAAGACTTAGGGGTTTCGGTTTAGGGTAGTTTTTTTGTGTGCTGCTGACTTTTTGGAGGCGGGTGGCGTCTTTGAAGTACTCAAGCTTACTCTTTCTGTGCACCGGATTCGTCTCAGTGCGATATAGGCTGTCTCTTGATGAGTGCATGTTACCCCTGTGCCTGCATGCAACCAAGTGTACTCGCGAAACCCATCAGATTTTCTGCAGAAACAATGAAACCCTAAACTCTAATGATAATTACGGCCCATATCCACTGTGCAATCGGCCTTGGTGGAGTCTCGAGGCGCGTGAGAACGAGACGCCGTATGCCCCGGGCACCTACAACGAGTTTGACAAGTGCGGAGACACGCGCCAGGCGTGTCTTGGCCGTCACTTCTACAGGTTTCGGGTCTAGGGCCTAGGGTCATACCTTAACCTACCATAACCCACTTTTTTGTAGGTTCTTATTATAAACCTTAATATGGGATTTATAGGGACCCTACAGCAAAGTAGGTTCTGGTAGGTTAAGGTATGCTTCAAACTTTACGGACCACGGGCAACGCTCAAAGACAACCACGGCATGCCAGCTTGCGGTTCCTCGAGAGCCCGACAGTGTTTAGGTATAGAGTTTAGGGTCAGGCCTGAACGTCTAAATTTTCAAGTCAGGGTTTAGGGTTTAGGGTTTCGGGTTGTGTGCCCGGTTAGTTTGACAAGCAGTAGCCCTGCACGCACTACATGCGAACCTTTCAAGACTTTGTGTGGTAGCCCTTAGGAAAGCCTTATAAACCCTATCCTGGAAACCCCTGTCGTAGGCTTCTCTACACCTTCAAAGCCCGAAATCCTGAACTGCAAAACCCGAAACCCCGAATTTAGGGTTTAGGGTCCAGGGTTTAGGGCTTAGGGGTTAGGGTCTGGGGTTTAGGGTTTAGGGTCTAGGGTCTAGGGTTTAGGGAACCCAACAACGAAACACGGACCGAGGTATGTGAACTGCACGCACGGGCCGAAGCAGAAGGTCGGGAAGCAGGTCATCAACCAGGCAAGGCATCAACGGTTTAGGGGTTTGCGGAATAGAGGTTCAGGGGTTTAGGGATTAGGGGTGTGCGGCTTGGAGGTTTACGGGTTTACGGTTTAGAGGTTTACGGGATAGAGGCTTAGAGGTTTAGGGGTTTAGGGGTTTAAGGGTTAGATGTTTAGGGGTTTAGGGTTTAGGGGTTTGGGGTTTAGGGGTTTACGGTTAGAGGTTTCGGGGCTTAGGCTTAAAGCTGATCCCTGCAGGTCAGCACGCAGGCACAGCCGCTGGATTTCTACAAGCAGCAGGCCACGGTAAGCACACCTCGTGGTGTGCGGGCCTGGGTTTAGAGCTTGCACATTAGGGTTTAGGGTTTAGGGTCTACGGAGTGTCAGTTTGGCAGAATCCATACTGTCCATAGTACCGGAGTGGATGCGGCTTCCTGTTCTAAGTGCCCGAATAAAGCCAGGAGTTACTTCACCTGCTTCCGGTCCAGCTCTATCTACAATTTATGTGGGTCGTCCTACCAGTATAACTCTGAATGCAGACGAAACGAAGAAGGAGACAAGCTTGAGGACCCCCCACATGAAACTTGTGCTAAGTAGGAGTTGCTCTGATCCGTACAGAAAACCCTCAAAGCCGACATAGGTACTCCTTAACATCCTGAAAAAACCCACAGCATATCCAGGTCCACGCACTGAGAAACTTGGAACCCTGACGAAGAGAACGATTCACAAGTCAAGCTTACTCGTTCACTTCCGGGTTTGGTGTTTCGGCTTTCAAGGAGTTTTTCAGCCCTAAAAACCCTAAACCCCTAAACCGTAAACCCCCAAACCCCCAAACCCTAAAGCCCGAAACCCCCAAACCCTAAAACCCTAAACCCCTAAACCCCCAAAGCCCTAACCCCGAAAGCCCTAAAGCCCCAAAGCCGGAGAAGGCCTCTTCGGGACGCGTTGGTGCAACGGACGCCGAGCCACTGCCGACGTTGCGGCTTGGGCTTAGGGCCCTGGGGCAGTTCGCGCTGTTGGGCTTTAGGGGCTTGGGGTTTTAGGGTTTAGGGGCTTAAGGGGCTCAGGGGTTCAGGGTTGTAGTGGTTTAGGGTTTAGGGGTTTACGGTTTAGGGGTTTAGGGTTTAGGGGTTTAGGGTTTAGGGGTTTAGGGTTTAGGGGTTTAGGGGTTAGGGTTTAGGGAGTGTTTCACAGTTTCGTCTAAAGCCGAAGGGTCTAGGCCTTCTGGGGCTCGGGAAATGCAGGGCGTTTTGAGGCTTTCGAGTATTGAGCTCCTTCTTCTGATCCAACACACGGCCCTAGTTTGCAGCGCCCTAAACCCTAAACCGCCTGCATGCAGGTTTCAGAATCGGCGCGATGCGGATTAGACCCTTCCACCTCCTCTTTGGAACCAGAGTCCCTGATTAACTGAAGCCTTAGCGGTTTGGAGTCTAGGGTTTAGGGCTAGGCCTCCAGCACTAATCCACAAGTCCGGCAGTCTAAACCACCACAACCCAGATCGAAAGCCCCTCTACCGGAAACACTTACCCCCCATAATTCCATAATCCTTAGGCATGCCAGGGGTTCTCCTGGCCCTTCCTGTCTGGTTATTCTTTGTCTCTGCTAGTCTTCATAGCCTCCTTCTATCTCCCTAAACCCTGAGCCCCAAACCTTAACCCCCTTAGCCCTACGTATGCCCTAAACCCTAAGCCCTAAACCTTATGCTACGTCCAGGACTCGAGGCACCCTGGTAGAGCTGGGAGGTTTACGGTTTAGGGCTTTGGGTTTAGGGCTTAGAACTCAGGGTTTAGGGTGGGTTTGGGGGCTTTAGGGC